GCCAGAGCGAAGGTCAGGGACGGTCTGAGTACAGAGGCCCCGAGGGAGGGAGGCAGCTTCCCCGGCCACCTCTCCCTCCTCCTCAGAGAGCCCAGGAGGCCCCCAGCCTGGGTCTGAGGCCCAGGACATGGGCAGGGCCCGCCCCCGGGTGCTGTTTCCACCCAACTCCGGCCGAGGGCAGTGAATTCCTTTCTTTTTTAATATATTTTTATTGATGTCAGAGAGGAAGGGAGAGAGAGAGAGAGAGAAACATCCATGATGAGAGAGAATCATGGATCGGCCGCCTCCTGCACGCCCCCTACTGGGAATGGAACCCGCAACCCGGGCATGTGCCCTGACCGACCGGGAATCGAACCATGACCTCCAGGTTCCATAGGTCGATGCTCAACCACTGAGCCACACCAGCCGGACAAGGGCAGGGAATTTCTTAAATGTGACCGTGAGGTTTCTCTGTTAGAACTAAGTTGAGCCTCTGGGCCATTGACAATTAGTCCTGGCTGTCAGTCAGATTTCTTGTATGAGCTTTGATGTATATTTTTAAAATATGTTGTTACTGATTTCATAGAGAAAGGAAGGGAGAAGGAGAGAGAAACATCCATGATTCTCTCTCACCGTGGATGTTTCTATTTCTCCCTCTCCTGGCCTCTCGGAAATCAATAAAAATAATTTTGTTTAAAAAAAGGCAAACTATTGCCCTAGCCAGTGTTGCTCAGTGGATAGAGCGTCCGCCTGTGGACTGAAGGGTTCCGGGTTCCATTCCCGGTCAGGGCGCATGCCTGGCTTGCAGGCTCGATCCCCAGTAGGGGGTATGCAGGAGGCAGTCGATCCATGATTCTCTCTCATCGTGGATGTTTCTCTCTTTTCCTCTCCCTTTTTCTCTGAAATCAATAAAAATATATGTTAAAAATAAATAACAATAAAGAGTAAAAAAGGCAAACTATTAAGAGAAAGAGAGAAAGGACAGCCCCCTCGTCTCTGGAACGCGGAGCCCATCCCTCCAGCCAGTGGAGAACAGCTGGCCGCGTTCATCTTTCTCCAGAGGCAGGTCAGGGGGGCCCCGGGCAGCTTCGTGGGAAGGCGCTGGGCCCCAGAAAACCGCAGCCGGGGCCGCGCGGCCAGACGCTGACCTCACAGCGATAGAGAAACCGCCGTGTACACAGCCCTTCCCAGCAGCCCACAGGCAGCTTCTGTTCCCTGCCTCCGGGGGGCGCCGCCCTCTGACCTACGGGACTGAGTCCAGAGGCCCCTCTCCTGGGCCCGGGCCCGGGCCTCGCTCAGACGGAGGCGAAGCCGTCCTGTGACATCACCGCCCGGCTCCCGGCAGCAAGCTGCCTCCCACCGTCTGCAGCCCAGATGCGGGCCGGACAGTGCCCCCCAATGTCCCGCAGACACAGGCGGACTCGGGGCTCAGGGCCCGGCCCCCTGCTCCGTCAGCGGGAGATAGAGGCCCCCCCTACATCCACCTCTACCCTCCCGCCCCCCTCCCCCGGGTGCCTTTCCCTCACTTGGGTTACGGTCTCTGAGCACAAGGAGGGAGACGGGCAGAGGTTTCCGTGGGCCGGCCTTTTGGGTTTTTTTGCTAATCTGCACCTGAGAATTTTGTTTTTTATTGATTTCTTTCTTTTTTCTTTTGGTTAATCCTCACCTGAGGATATTTTTCCATTGATTTTTTAGAGGGAGTGGAAGGGAGAGGAAGAGAGAGAGAGGGAGAGAGAGAGAAAGAAACATCGATGTGAGAGAGACTCATTAATTGTTTGCTTCCTGCACTTGCCCGGACCAGGGCCGGGGATCGAGCCTGCAACTGAAGTTCATGCCCTTGACCGGAATCAAACCCGGGACCCTTCAGTCTGCAGGCCGATGCTCTATCCACTGAGCCAAACTGGCTAGGGCTCCATTAATTTTTTTTAAATATATTTTTATTGACTTTTTTACAGAGAGGAAGGGAGAGGGATAGAGAGTTTGAAACATCGATAAATGGCAAAGAGATGTGTTTGCCTCTAAAGGGCAGTTGCTTATTTTGTCTTTTCTGTGTCCGTTGCCTTTGCATGAGGAGAAGGGGGGCAAGGGTTCCTGCTTTGCCCTACATAAGGAGGCCGCTGTCCCCTCCTGGCCCATCCCATAGCAACAGGGCTAAAATGGAAACAGGGAGTTCTGTTGAAGACCAGCTCCTGCACGACAGCTGCCTCCCGCCTGCTGTGGATGCAGCATTGTCTGCTGAGCACCTGCCCTTCCTGCTGTAACCCGATTGGAATGCAGGCACCAGGGGTGCACAGTCCTGGAGTGGGTCTTGGGGGATGGGGGGTTCAGTGCCTCCCACCCCCCAGCGTGCCACCTCTACGCCCTGCCTTGTGTCCAGGGCCGCAGGGCATTCACCAGAAGCAGCGTCAAGCAGGCGTGAGCCTCAGTTTCCTCCCATGGTAAATCGGAGAGTTACTAGTAGAACCAGTTCTAAGGGCCCCTTTCATTCTGTTGTTCTCTAATTCTGGCACTTGTGCCTCCTTTGAAGAGGCTCTGAATCAAAAAGGGTTTTTTGTTGTTGTTTATCCTCACGTAAGGATTTTTTTCCATTGATTTTTAGAGAGAGTGGAAGGGACAGAGGGAGGGACACAGAGAGAGAAACATCGATGTGTGAGAGAGACATCGATCAGCTGCCTCCTGCACACCCCCTGTAGGGTGTGCAGCCGAGCTACATGCCCTTGACCAGAATCGAACCTGGGACCCTCCAGTCCGCAGGCCGACGCTCTCTCCACTGAGCCCAACTCGCGAGGGCCCTTCTCCCTTCATTTAAGAGCCCCTCACTGTTGGGTAAAAGGCGACAGGGCTCCCCTCTCAGGTGGAAAGGTGACAGACCCGTATGCACAGCTGCACTGTTTGACGAGACCAGAAACCCAGCCCCTGGGGGAGTCCCGGGGGGCCCCAGGCACCCCTCCATCAGTGCCCGACAGCCCCTGGGGGTTTGCAGACAGGCGTGCAGTGGGGGCCCTGGGTGAGTGACAGGCTCAGGGCCACAGGCGGCCGCACCTGCGCACCTGGCAGGGGGCTCCCCTCCCCGGTGCAGGCGACTGGGCCGGTGCTCAGCCCAGCCCGGGGCCGGGGGGTCCTCTGTCGCAGGCCAAGGCCCCGAACGCCGTGGTGCTGGTGGTGGGAACCCACCTGGACTTGATCGAAAGCAAGTTCCGCGTGGAGAGGATTGCGACTTTGCGGGCCTACGTGCTGGCGCTCTGCCGCTCCCCCTCGGGGTCCCGGGCCACGGGCTTCCCAGACATCTCCTTCAAGCACTTACAGTGAGTGTCCCAGGCCTTCCTGCTCCCTCTGACCTCGCCTGTGGCTGTGGCTGTGGCTGTGGCTGCTGGTCCCCGTCTTGTCCACCTTCCCGGCAGTACCTGGCATCTGCCTGCAGGGGGCGCCGAACCAAGGGCTGGGCTCCTCTGGGGCATCTTCTGGCTTGAAGGGTTGCAGACCGGCCCTAGGGAGGGCGAGGAGCGGCGAGAGGTGTGGCAGGGCAAGGCCCCGTCTCTGTGCGTCCTTCCTGGGTCACCCCACCAGCCCTGTGGCCAGTGCTGAGCCTGCACGGCCCATCCCATGTGGTCGAGCATCGAACTAGGAACCAGGAGGTCACGGTTCGATTCCCGGTCAGGGCACTTGCCCGGGGGGGTTGTGGGCTCCATCCCCAGTAGAGGGCGTGGAGGAGGCGGCTGCTCAGTGATTCTCTCTCATCATGGATGTTTCTCCCTCCCTCTCCCTTCCTCTCTGACATCAATAAAAAATATATATTTCGTTCTCACAGCGAGATTTCCTGCAAGACCCTGGAGGGCCTGGAGGGGCTGCGGCAGCTGATTTTCCACGTCACGTGCAACATGAAGGACGTGGGCAGCACCATCGGCTGCCAGCGGCTGGTGGGGAGGCTGGTGGGTACCGCAGGCTCCCTGGGCCCAGGGCAGGCAGCTTCTGGGGGGAAAGGGAGGGATGGGCGGTGAGGCCTCCCACCTGCTCGGGGCGCAGGAGGGCAGCGGGTGGGCCAGGCCTCATGGGACGGGAGGGCTCAGGCCTGCCCACCTGCCCCAGGTCCCCAGGAGCTACCTGAGCCTCCAGGAGGCCGTGCTGGCGGAGCATCAGCGCCGCAGCCTGAGTGACGACGTGCAGTACCTGACGGACAGGCAGCTGGAGCAGCTGGTGGAGCAGACGCCCGGCAATGACATCAGCGACTACGAGGACCTGCAGTCCGGTGGGTGGGCCGCGGGCAGGGGGAGGGGCAGAGGGGATGGCTGCGGGCACGGGGATCCTGGAGAAGGGTCCCCGCTCTGCGCCTGTCTGCAGAGGACTGCAGGTGCACCGCGGGGATTGAGTTTGGGGTCACAAATTGACTTTTTAAAAATATGTCTCTATTGATTTCACACAGAGGAAGGGAGAGAGAGAGAAACATCAACGATGAGAGAGAATCATGGATCGGCTGCCTCCTGCACGTCCCCTACTGGGGACCAAGCCTGCCACCCAGGGATGTGCCCTGACTGGGAATTGACCCCTGACCTCCTGTTTCATAGGTGGATGCTCAACCACTGAGCCACACCGGCCAGGCCACCAATCAGTTTTCATGAACACACGAATTTGCAAAGATGGAATCCGGCCCTGGCCGGTTTGCCTCACTGGATAGAGTTCATAAGCCCATGGACTGAAAAGTCCCGGATTCAATTCCCAGTCAGGGCACATGCCCGGGTTGCAGGCTCGATCCCCAGCATGGGGCGTGCAGAAGGCAGCCGATCCATGATTCTCTCTCATCATTGATGTCTCTCTCTCCCTCTCCTTTCCTCTCTGAAATCAACAGAAATAAATTAAAATTTAAAAAAGACAGAATCTGGGAAAAACAGGAATCAATCGTTTCAGCATATAGGCAGCTGTCACAGGGGGGCCCACCGACCGGAAGGGCCCACGTGTTGGCTGCTTCCTCAGAGAAATGTGTGTCCTGGCCCCCCTGGCAGTGGGTCACCCCTGACTCCCCTCTGTGCTCTGTCTGATGCCTCCCCCTCCCCCGCTACTGTGCGCAGCCATCAGCTTCCTCATCGAAACGGGCGCGCTGCTGCACTTCCCGGACACCAGCCACGGCCTGCGGAACCTCTACTTCCTGGACCCCATCTGGCTGTCCGAGTGCCTGCAGCGCATCTTCAGCATCAAAGGCTCCCGCTCCGTGGCCAAGAACGGGGTGATCCGGGCGGAGGACCTGCGCCTGCTGCTGGTGGGGACCGGCTTCACGCAGCAGACGGAGGAGCAGTACTTCCAGTTCCTGGCCAAGTTCGAGATCGCCCTGCCCGTAGCCAACGACAGGTGCGTCCGCAGGCCGGGCTGTGCGGGCGGCCCCCCGGGAGGGAGGAGTCGGGGGCTGAGGTCGCTGGGGCCTCGAACCGGGTTTCTCCAAAAAAATGGGCCGTGGTGACCTCCAGCCCGTTCAGCTGGCTGTTTCTTTCCATGCACGGGTGTCTTTTTTTGTTGTTGTGAGTCCTCACCCGAGAATATTTTTTCATTGATTTTTAGAGAGAGTGGAAGGGACAGGGAGAGACAGAGAGAAACATCCCATGTGAGAGAGACACATCGATGGGTTGCCTCCTGCGTGGGCCCCAACCAGGGCCCCGGGCCAGAAAGACACATCGATGGGTTGCCCCCTGCATGCACCCCAACCAGGTCCCCGGGCCGGGAGGAGCCTGCAATCGGGGTACGTGCCCTTGACCGGAATCGAACCCGGACCCTTTAGTCCGCAGCCAGGGCACCTGCCTGGGTTGTGGGCCTGATCCCTCATTAGGGGGCGTGCAGGAGGCAGCCGATCCATGATTCTCTCTCATCATTCATGTTTCTCTCTCTCTTCTTCTCCCTTCCTCTCTAAAATCATTAAAACCTTTTTTGTAATCCTCACCCGAGGATATTATTCCACTGATTTTTAGAGAGAGGGAAAGACAGAGAGAAATATTAATGTGAGAGAAACACATCCATGAGTTGCCTCCTGCCCATGCCCTGCCCGACCAAGGCCCTGGCCAGGGAGGAGCCTGCAACCGAGGTATGTGCCCTTGACTGGAATCGAACCCGGGACCCTTCAGTCTGCAGTCTGACCCTCTGTCCACTGAGCAAAACTGGCTAGGACTCAATAAAAACTTTTAAATATATGTAAAAATAATAGAAAGAAAGAAAGAGAAATATATATAAAAGTAAATGTTAAAAACATAAAGCAATCAACAAATGTATGTGAATCTGAAGATTGCATTTTAAGAAAGAAAGAAAGGAAGGAAGAAAGAAAGAAAGAAGAAAGAAAGAAAGAAAGAAAGAAAGAGACACGCCCAAGGCTTGGCTGGAGCCTGCCCCTCGCAGCCACTGGGGGGGGCGGGGAGGGGGGGATATCTCCCACTTCCAGCTGTTTGCAAGCGACCAGGGCCAAGAACAGCTGAGCAAGCGACGTGGTGATGCAGCGCTTTTCTGCAGAGCGAGAGCGCGGGCCCCCAGCGCCCCTCTTTTGCACAAACAGCCTCCTCCGGCTTTAAAGGCGGCTGCTCCGTCTCCATTCGCCAAGAGCAATAAATAGCCGGGGGGAGCCAGCAGACGCTCTGACCCCAACGTGGGCACTGTCCTCGGACCCGTGCGGCTGTGTTTGTTATTCCTCGGCCGAGTCCCAAGTTCATTGTGAGCGGCTACCCCGTCCCGGCCCCGCGTGCAGGGCAGTCCCATCACGGGGCGACGGGCTCTGTCTGGCGCGTTTAGGACCACAGATGGCTCCGGGTCTTTTGCCGGCCTTGGTCTCGCCTCTGTCTTGGCGACCGCGCGAGATACATTCACGGTGCCCATCCTCATGTTCCCTCGGAGCATGTATTCTTTTAAAAACATATGTTTGTGTAGGGTTTTTCTATTGATTTTAGAGAGGAAGGGAGAGAGGGGGAGAGAGAAACATCAATGAGGAGAGAGAATCATGGATCGGCTGCCTCCTGCACGGCCCCTACAAGGGATGGAGCCTGCAACCTGGGCATGTGCCCGACTGGGAATCAAACTGTGACCGACCTGTTGGTTCCTGGGTTGATGCTCAACCACTGAGCCACACTGGGTGGGCAACATCCATCTCTGAACAAGTCAGGTTCACACACATAACCATAACAATAGCCACTCCCTCTCCTCTGTGCTCCCACCGACTAGTCTTCCATCTTTTCTGGACAAGGCGTCTTCATGTCCCAGTGACAGGCACACAAACA